CTACAACCCATGTCTAAGCAAAAGCTTGTCGAGGAGCGAGGGGAAGAAGGGAGAAAAAAAGTCCTGGTATGCCGGTTTAAATAAAGTGGTCCTTAATTGGGGGGTGGTCCTTAATAGGCACATTTACTCTGTATCTCGAGCTGGAGAACACAACAGTCGATGGTATCAACACATTCTCACCTCACCTCTTCGTGAATGACAACATGCTCTCACCCAGTCACCAGTTGGTCACTCCGACATGCGTCCGACGCAAGGTCGAATGCCGCATCACCCAACCAAACAACACTACACCGAGACTCTCCCCTGACCCCTCTTCCCCACGGGCAACGCAACTCTACGCGCATCGCCCGTATTCACCCCACCCTCAACCCCCAAGGTTTGACAAGGAATATACCCTCTCCGCCGTTTTGTACCACCCTCCCCAACGGTGTCGTATTTTACCGGGCCAGCCAGAATTCATCCCATCTTCTGAGACTGAGCTTCTGGCTTACAAAACTATTTTCCAGTTCCTGAGGACACTAGTCCCTGTCAGAGACAGAGGCCGGTGCTCTGGCAGTATTCTCCCACTGCCAAGGGTGGCTATTTCCTTTCGTGAGATGTGACGAGGAGAGAGGTACAAAAAGAGAGTGACCAGAGGGTCGAGAGGGGCGAGCCGGAGGCTCCCCCATCTCTTCCCTCGGCAAGCGGCCATGGACTTCGGAAGAGACAAATCTCCTCGGTGCTTTACTTGCCACTTCTCCCGATGGCAAGTTACCCCGAGGAATCATATCTTCCTATACTTTGTATGTGCACAAATGGTTGGTTATATATTCCGACATGTGTCCTCCACATCACCCCCCCCTCTATGCGCCACAAGTCCATCTGTGCTAAAGATGTGCTTTTGGCGTTCAGAGACATGAGTGGCTCATGGAGACGCATGTATCGGAAATAACCTATATCCATTGTGCAACACCATCGACTACATCTAATTATCGTACAACGCGTGTTGAGAAAACACGGGGAGTCTTCAGACGGTCGATGAATGTGGTCCATACTAGTATAGTCTAGAAAAAGGTGGGTACTGGGCTGTCATGATGACAGCTAGGGTACTAGAAAATTTGTCATGGTCATGATCGCGTGACATGCCATGTGTGGGGATGATGTGGAGTAGACTTGTAATGAGGTAAACCTCTGGCAAGTCCACCTAGGCATCATAAATAAGATCTTGGGATAACGGTGGCTAAAAAAAAATATCCTCCTCGCCAGTGTTTCCCCAAACACTGATAGAATAGGTTGTTTCCAATGAACACAACCTACCACCGTGGCTACCGGTCCTGTGTTAGTGATGGACACAGGATGATGGTAGTAGACAAATGTCCCAAGTCTAAAAATAGTAATGCTAGCTGCTAGAGATGATCGAAATGCATCAATCATTCAATTTTCGTACTGGGCTATCATGATGACAGCTAGGGTACTAGAAAAATTTCCCATGGTCATGATCGCGTGACATGCCATGTGTGGGGATGATGTGGGGTAGACTTGTAATGAGGTAAACCTCTGGCAAGTCCACCTAGGCATCATAAATAAGATCTTGGGATAACGGTGCCAAAAAAAAATTATCCTCCTCGCCAGTGTTTCCCCAAACACTGATAGAATAGGTTGTTTCCAATGAACACAACCTACCACCGTGGCTACCGGTCCTGTGTTAGTGATGGACACAGGATGATGGTAGTAGACAAATGTCCCAAGTCTAAAAATAGTAATGCTAGCTGCTAGAGATGATCGAAATGCATCAATCATTCAATTTTCGTACTGGGCTATCATGATGACAGCTAGGGTACTAGGAAAATTTCCCATGGTCATGATCGCGTGACATGCCATGTGTGGGGATGATGTGGGGTAGACTTGGAATGAGGTGAACCTCTGGCAAGTCCACCTAGGCATCATAAATAAGATCTTGGGATAACGGTGGCTAAAAAAAAATTATCCTCCTCGCCAGTGTTTCCCCAAACACTGATAGAATAGGTTGTTTCCAATGAACACAACCTACCTCTCTCTCCTGTGTTAGTGATGGACACAAGATAGACTAATGGTAGTAGAAAATTTCCCAAGTTTACAAAAGGTGAAAATGGTAGCTGTTAGAACGATAGTAAGTGTTTCAATCGTTTAATTTCCGGGCCCTGATTCGTTTTCGCTTGCTAGTTCGGCAGGGCAATGTAACATCACCCGGCTTGGGAGCAGTGCGAGGTGGGGTTAAACTAGAACTCGTATTTAGTGTTCGTCGTCGTTTTCTAGTTTTACGCGGTGACTCTGGGTCACTGTGCACAACCGATGTTCGAGACAGACGCTGTTTAGAGTTCTTGGTTTGTTCCCGCTGTCGTTTCCTGGTTTCACTGGGTGATTCTGGGTCGCCCTGTGTAACTTGGGTACGAGACGAATTTTTATTAGTGGGGCCGGTGTCCAAACCACAACGGATTCGGTAGGCAGCTATCATTTCCTGACATTGTGGAATTTCGTCTGCTCGGTATTCAAGGTCGGACTCAGGGCCATACCCTCGAAGGCGCAAACGGTACCTGTAGTTGTACGGGGTTTTCGGTCCCCGACCACTCTTATGGCTTACCACTTTGTCGACGACGTAGGACTCAATTTTTGGTTGAGTTTCGTCAGGATGGTCTAGCTCGGGCAACGGAATCTGGCGGCCTAAGAAAAACTCGGAAAGTTTGTCGAAGTCCGGCGCAGGTGGTGTTTTCCTAGCATAGTACCGTTTAATATGGGCTAAATGGACTGAAACTTCTCGAGTTTCGTTTTGACGTCGCACTCTATATACCACTGGGGATAGTTGGGAGCAAACAACGTAAGGTCCACGCCACGGTAACAGCAATTTTGGGTTTGGGCCGTCCGAATCTTGGTACGGTCGGTATACCAGTACTAAGTCACCACGTTTAAAGACAGGTATAGGACGCAATTTAGCGTTCTTGTCAGCTTGTTTCTGTGTGCGTTCCGACAGATTGCGGCGCGCTAACTCAAAAACAACCTGTAAATTTTCCTGTGTGGCTTTTAGAGGATTCTTCGGTATTTGCTGTTGTTCCTTGATGAGGAATACCGAGAATGATATCAACTGGTAGTCGGGGCTTCCGACCAAACATGAGGAAGAATGGTGTTTCATGCATGGTGGAGCTATACGATGTGTTGTAAGCCAGTTGAATAAAAGGCAGCAGTGATGCCCAGTTGTCGCGGTTCATAGAGCTATGCATGGCAAGCATTGCGTGCATAGNCTTTACTTGCCACTTCTCCCGATGGCAAGTTACCCCGAGGAATCATATCTTCCTATACTTTGTATGTGCACAAATGGTTGGTTATACATTCCGACATGTGTCCTCCACATTACCGCAAAAAAAAAAAACGGAGGTAAAAAAAAAACCGGTAACCTGGTTGCCGAGTTCACGAAGTGAATTGGCTTGTTTTACAACGTCTTTGCCAAGCGACGAAAACCCAATCCCGATGGCAAACACCGAGGGGGTCGGCTTGTTTTACAACGTCGTTCCAAGCGACGAAAACCCAACCCCGATGGCAAACACCGGGGGTGGGGGGCATGGGGGGGGTCTCGTCTTCTGCACCCGCCGCTGGAAACTGCTCTGCGGTGGGAGCCTCGCCCTCGGGTTCGTAATCCAGGATTTCCACATTTTCGCACAGGAGTTCCACATTGCCGCTGGACATGGTGTCCTCTATGTTAACAAGAACAGGGCCAGAGAGAGGGTAGCTACGATCGATTGTGGAAAGGGCAGCAGGGCCAGAAACAGCAGATGTAGGATAACCAACCGCAGTTGAGGCAGCATCACCAAGAGCAGCGGAAGCAGTAAAGCCGGGTGCAACTTCGGGAAGCAAGCCGAGGTCCATGCGAAAGGCGGAGATATCCAGAAGATAGCATACGCCCAGTGATAAAACCTTGGTGCACACGAGGTTGAAGCGCATCCAACCAAGCAGAATAAGCGTCCAAAAGCACACCATGCCACGCACAAACAGCAGTAGAAGCTAGCACAAAAGGGTCTGTGTTACATGCAGACACGAGGTTTTCCGACCAAAAGACACGCAGAGCAGCACGGCGTTCCTCCGCAACTGGTGCCGAAGTGCGAGCAAAGACCTCCGTGGGTTTGCGCTGTTGAAAGGTTTCCAATTCAAATGCTTTGCGGGTGAACGATTCCCCGAAAAAAAGTGCCATGTGATTTCGAAAAATGGAGGGAAGGCTGGTGGGGCGGCTGACATCCAATTTGTGTGCACACATCGCGTTCCAAGTCGATGCAAGCGGAGTCAAATCGGAGAGCACAACAGGAAAATCCGCGGACATCGGCCGGTACGCCGGCATGAATGCAGTAGAAGAGGTGGTAGCAGACGTGGGAAGCATGCTGGCATCTCGGTCCCACTACACAAGGCCAGCAACTCAGGACGCTCCATGCAGAGGGTATCCGCCACAGAAATCACTTCATGGACCGCCGATGCAGACAAAATAGCTTTCGAGGGACGGCGAACGTACGAAACATCACCCAAAACATCGCGATGGCCTCCGAGGCGCGTATCCTTTGCAAGGTCCCAGTCCCGCGGGCGCTTCGCAAAAGCATCACAAGCCAGCATCTCTACAGGAGAGGAAGCAAAGAAGAGGCGAAGTCTAGATTCTCGTGGGTGGTGAGACCAAATAACAAGCAACCCGGTGGTTGTGAAAAAAGCGTGGCAACAACACACAGCAGTAGTGTGGAAGCCGCGTCCAGCACCCGCTTACCGTGTAATGCCAGCTGACGCCAAGTTTCAAGGAGTGATGCCGTGGGCGGTAGCTTGCTCCTAGAGATAGATGAAGGTTCTGTCGTTGACACGCTTGTCCACGACCACGTTGAGATGGGAAAGTTGCTTTTTATTGCTGAGAGACGATCAGCAAAGGTCTGGGATGAAGTGGGGATCCAACTTCATCTCAGGGGGTACACAGAGTAGACAATTCTAAGGGGGTAGGGGTCAGAAGGGTATACCTCCTGACCGACCCGCATCCTATCAACAATAAGATGTGCCTTATTCATGCTAGCAGCCACACTCCTTAACATTTATGCATTGATGGCAAAAAAAAAGGCTTCCTCTACCTAGTCTAAATTGTGCTTTTGTTTGGGAGTTTTAACATTGCACATTTTGGGAAGCCAACCTCCACAGCAACCCAACCAGCGCGAAAAGGTGACACGCTCACAGAGTGCGCACACAATTGCTACTGTCGTGTAGCGGATGGCCAACATGGTTGAAGGTCGCGCTAGAGAAGAGCAGTACAGCAGTAAAACACTCGATGGAGCAAAAGTGCGGTGGAAATGGACACATGACATGAGATACCATACCCCCTGGAACGATTTTCAAAGCTTCAAGTACACAACGAACAAATCAAAGGATGTGTTGTCGGAAAGATCTCGACGAGACGGTTCCAACGCCGCCATTTTGGCACCGTCACTGCTCTTCCTGCCAAGTAATCGAACTTTTTTCTAATCGGGCTAGGGGTGTGACATCTTATGCAAACCTACGGTACACACGTACACACATACATCTCCCCGACACAGATATATGGTTCTTCCGACGAACCGACACGTGGCTCCGCACCAGCACCTGGCTCCAGGACCGTTCCGTTGGCACTTTGATTATATCTTGTGGCGTGGTACCGAGTATACTGAGTACCTGGTTGTGCTACATAGACTATGGGCTGAGCGATACAATGCTGCCGGCTATACATCGTATTGCACACGCAGATGTGTATGTATCTTCCACGCAGACACACTCTGAGCTGGATCGGACAACAATTGCCCTGCATTTGTAGGTTTGGAGGAGCGAAAGAAACTGTGCGCAAGAAGATAGAATCTTTACTGCTTGACGTACACTATGCGCAGTCACAAGATACGTCCGTTATACAATTTAGGGCCATGGGCACACCGCATGCCACTGTCCACAGCACGTACACGTTTCGCTCCATCGAGGTGTGATAGTGGTAGACGTCAGCGCGGTACACAGTAGTACATGGTCTACAGTCTACGCGGACCAGCGTTGAAGTGGACCGCGCATTTCGTCGAACCAGGAAAACCCACTGCCGCCGGAAGACACACCAAATGCGATCTCTGTTGCATGCACTTCTCGCAGCACTGCTTTCCGCGGTCGGCGGAACGTCTGGAGCCGCCTCTCCAATACAGCCTGCGGTGGTCGAGTCGTTTGCGCAAAGCGCGCTCCTTTCAGTGCGTGTCATTAACGGAGAGTCAGATAATGCCGGGGACCATGAAGCCATGGCAGTGGTCGTGTCGACAATCACAGAGATGGTGAGGGTAGGGTGTGTATGGATGGATATGGATTGCCCGTACCATCAGGGCCCTGTCTCTGTCTGGATCAAATCAAAGATCTTTGTGTGTGATCGCTAAAGCTTGCCATCAGCCCGTGTGCGAGGGCCAGATGTCATGGACAATCCATATCTGTCCATAGACATCATCACTCGACGTCGCGGAGTGTTTTCGAGGAATTGTCATCGGCCAGGCGCACGACGTTTAGACGAAAAGGTTTCAGTGCCTCGAGCCTGGCACTTAGGATATGCAGTGACAGCCGCATCATGCAGTGCATATTTCTGGTACTCCCCGTTGCTTGTCTGGTCTGACCAAAAGGACTCCGACGGCAAGCCGGTTGGGGTCGAGGGATCTCCGCTCTTCTTCGACAGTGACAACATCTCCATCTCCTCAACAAGACGAAGCGGCGTGTACCAAGATGGTCTTGCGGCAGAAGAGGTATGGAGACTGACGGCTGTGAAGACAACAATTGTTCCAATACGCGTCGCATTATCTTGAGTCTATAACTAGGGGCCCGCGCAGTCTCGTCTCATGTTCGTAAGAAATATATAGACCACAATCTGTCCTTCACTCTCTCCGGGAGAGAGTGGAGGTCGTACGAAACACTGCACGCATAAACGGTAGGAGGGTTGCGTAGACTGAGGATATTTCGGAATGATGCGCAGGTGTCCTCGGTAGCGACAATTACGGGCACGGCGACGACGGTAAGCTTGGTTGCTACCAACTATCTGGGCGACGGAAGCACCTCAACCTTCGAACCGTCAACAATCGTTGAGGTGAGCGAGAGGAAACATAGAGGAAATGGGGGAGTTCCTGCTGCTGTCGTATAGAGCGAGATAGTCATTAGGACAACCATAGAATCAATTGTTATCATTACAAGCGAAGAAAATGTTTTGCCTGCGTTGTCGTTTGTCGTTTTTCTCCGTCGCCTGCGGTGTCCACTTAGGGTCTGCTTTTCCTTTTGCCGCAAGGCATTTCTCTACATATATCAAACAAGCAGAGCACCACGATATCCTTGGCATCCACCCCCTGAACCGTGATAACCAAAAGTTAACCACATGGCCAGACTTTTCCATCGTGAACTTCGACGTGCTTACGAACATGAGCGAAAAAAATGTTTTTGCGGCAGAAAACCTCTGCCGTATCAATTCCTCCGACCTCATTCTCGTCAGACAAGGTTCGCCGTCTACCTGCCCTCGGTGTTGGTGATACTTGTCCCCCAATAGCACCGAACTATAAGCCGAGACGTAGATCGTCAGAGTAGCAGATGCGCCAACATTTCATCCTTGCATGCAACACAGCTGAAGATCGAAATCATTCCGCCCAGGCATCGCCCATACTTCCCGCAACACACTTACCTCAAGCTGTGCCTTCGGGCCCTTGGCGCTGCGACCGTGCAACACACTTGTCCTAGGTCGGGAACGAGACCGTGAGACTGGATGTGCGGATCAGCGACTGGTCGTTTTGCACTCCGTTCGGACGGGATGGGGGCCGCCGGTGCATGGCCGAGCCACAGGACATTTTCCTCGAGAACGAGGGAGCCCTCCCGCTGCCCCCCGCCCCGCCGCCTCCACACACCCTTCTCATCCCTCGCTGTGACGGGGAAACGGTAGCCACCTTTCGCTTCGTGTGCGACCCCAGGCTGGTGGAGTGCGCCGACATCGTTTCGGTGAAGTACTACCTGGGAGAGGCCGACCAAGACCCCGGCCAAGCTCCCAACACGGCGACGATTGGGGTTGCGAGGGGCGGCGTCGAGAATGGCACCAGCACTAGCAGCAGCGGCGCTCTTGAGGAGTTTTGGGGAACCGGCTTGTACGAGCGCAACCTCACCAGCGCCGAGGTGGGCTCGTTCCTGAACGTGAGCAGTCTCACGCCGGGTCTGGACTACGTATTTTGGTCGGTTTGGGAACACGGGAACGGCTCGGCCCCGGAATCCAACAGCAGGGACTTCGACCTTTCAAGGGTGCAATACTGGTGAGCGAGTGAGGAGTGAGATTGATTGTCAAATTGCAGACTGAGCAAAGAGGTAAAATGTCGGTGCAAGAACGATGCTGACAAATAGAGCAGCGAGTGGGAATAGTAAGGGTCTGGTACATACTTGTTAGTTTAAATTTCAGTAGTTCTTGAGGTTTACCTCGCCTCCAGCTGCAAGCACGAACTAAGTCTGCGGGAACCTATCGATGCCCAACCTGGCAACCAACGTGACCGCCCCTTGAACCAATTCCATCCTCCTTATATGCAAGCAGGCAGTGTCCAGGCACGACGATCGAGCGGAACTTCGAAGTCGGGATGTCGCTAAGCGTATCACTAGCCGTGAATGGCTCCACCGCTCTGGTTCCTTTGTGCGGCAACTCTGTCTCTGCATCGTCACCAGACAGCAGCAATACTGGCCCGACAAGCAGCCCCACTAGTGGCAGTAGTAGTTGCCAGAAAATTGGTGCGGGCGGCGTTGCTACCGAAACTTCTGGTCCCAGCAGAAGGCTTAGCGATCCAGGCGACGAAAGCCACGCCTCTCCTGCTCCCCGCGCTCGACAAGGTCGAGGCTATCGCCTACTCCAAGACGATCAAGGTACCAGTGCGTCCCTCGACGAAACAAAAGGAGGGGCTGGCTGGGCGTGGGACTCGGATGGGCCGATCTTCGGACTTGGAGAGCTCTCCAGGATTCGTCTCTCGAGTCATGTTTTGCTGTTGGGCGACGATGACAACGACAGTAGTGACTACAAAGAGTGGACCCCGCTCCGAAACACCTCTTCGGTCGTCACTGCAGCAGCAGGGGCGACCGAGAACGAGGAGGGGGGAGGAGGCCGCGCGGGCATGATCACGGCTTCGTTGGAGCCCTTCGACTCGCAGGCTGTGTTCTCCGCGCTGCTGTTCTTCAGCAAGGTGGAAGTCGTTCAGGAGGAGTCTGCAACGGGGGTCGAAGGTAAAGCTATTGTAGCGTAGTGTATTGGAGTGTGCGGAGCGTTTAAGTGTAACATGAACCCGACCCTCTACAGCAGTTAAAGATAGGCGGCGAGGGTCGAGTGGTGCGTCGATGGCGATGCATGCGACGTTGCGAGACCATAGAGGAAACCGTCGTTGCTAGACGGGCTCTGTCATTCGTAGCCGGGACTACCTGCTGCACGCTTTTTCCCTTGTCTGTTTTCATTGTCAATAGTCGAGACTGAAACAACAAGATCTGGATTACGTCCATGCGAACACCATGCGTAGACTACCCGGAAACTGATGATCGTCGTTTCATGTATTCTCTTTGCACCAAAAGGCGACCACACACACGCGGTAACCATGTGAGCATTGATTTTTTCGCTCTCTCTGTGGTGCCGCTTCAATAAAGTCTCAGTGGCAACGTGGGTGGCGATCGCATTTGGGTTCTTGCTGTTGTGGCTTCTCGGATGCTATGGAGTTAAGCTTGCCAAGCATCGCCATGCCGCTAAGACATGGCCTTCAGCCGTAGCTCGAGCAGCAGGTGAGTTCTGCGCAACCTCCTGACAATGCACTTTGGCTGCTCTCAAATGAAATGTCCCTTGGGCTTGCACAATTGCCAATGTTTGGTGGGTGTGGAAACCGTCAGCATTTTTTAAGACGAACTATCGTATCTCATTATAATTGTAACGAACGAACTCCACGTTGCAGGAAAATGAAGCAGTCCAAAAATTTCGCAGGATTAGAACTAGAGCGCCTCAAGGTTCAAACCAGGGAACACAAGCAAATGTTACAATTTCCCCCCATCGAGGTGTACCACAGTTTGCGCGAAACTCCCCACCCCCCCCCCCTCACCCC